GAATTGAAGCCAACATTATCCAGTCGCATTAGAGGGGGGAAAAAAAAAAAGGAAAAAAACCGAATAATTCCCCGGTAATGCTTCGCGAAAGTGTTGCAAGCGAGTGATTACACGTGAGGATCCATCATGAGATTAAGAGCGCGTTCTGCCATTCCTGGTAGGTTGAAATGCAAGGTTCAGAATGAACCTCGCGACAATGAGCTATCATGTTACCCCATTGAAAAAAAACATTGCGAGATTTTGGCATGTTCTTCTCAACGCATCTCTTCCCGTTTTTTCCAGCCCAATCACACCGTTTTTAGTGCACCTTTTACTGGAAGTTAGAATATTGGTGTGCCTGAAAGAGCGACACCAAGATTTTGCAAGTTCTTGAGTATGATATACGGTACCCTCGGCTGCTGAGGCACTGGCATTCAGTCTAGGCCAAAACACCAGCACATTTTGGGAATCCTGACAGGATAAACTTTGTGGCTATCGAAGTTTTGTAGACTAATGCCCAGAATGCCATACTAGAAGCTGGACTACTCGTACTGAGAAGCATTGTCATGGTGGGATGCTAACTAGCGCTAATGCTTTGTTATCTCGTTACCTGGACAAGCCATACCTATTCTCGTTAAGATGGAGGAAGAAGGGTGGACAGGAAAAAGTTACAGTTTTCAAAAACGGGTCAGACAAATAGTCTAGGTCCAACCTTACGATTTGGAGGCCCAGCCCATTTTATGAGGCAGGTTACGCCAGGAGAACACCACCGCTCAGTTGATCCTTGAAGAACCACTCAACCTTGTAGACTAGACTGTTTTGACCTCCACCTTGCGACGGCGAAACGCGTCCAAAGTTAGGATTCAACCTTCGTATGACAAGCCATGTTTAATTACCCTCTGTATCACACCACTCGTGCTCGGGTATTGTAAAAAAATGATTGAGGATCGCCCCAGTACGTCCGATATTTCCCTTTTGGGTTAATGGAGAAAGGGGGGATGTTGTCATTTCGTGCACCAGATGATAAATAAATAAATAAATAAGAGGAAAACACAACTGAGCTTATGATACTCGTACTGGTACTGGGAGAGAGGCAACACGAGCGGCATCGCGGGATCTTCCGTTATTCCAGGTCCAACCGTATGTTCGTAGTACGGTGGTCTACTCGCTCGTACGGGACGCCGCGGAGTGGTTAGTGGGGAAGGAGTGGGGGACAGTATTTCCAGGATTGATCGTGGGATGAAAACGCATTTGGATACACCCACCCACCCCGCACGCTCGCTTTTACAGACGGCGAGTCCCGTCTTGACGCAATTGGATATCACCCGCGATAGTCAAACGAGGATTCTGTTTCCCTCTTCCCTTCACGGAAAACAGAACTGGAGTAATACCGGTATAATTGTAGTAAACTGTACAGTACAGGAATAGATGAATATTATATTGCCGGATCAAAACGGCAAACAAAGAAAAAGCACACCGTGCAAAACGTATCTTTGACTCCAATTTTATTTAATCCCCCCGAAGAGGGAGGAGAAACCATTACTTCCGGCCCAGGAAAGTTTGAAAAGAAGAAGAAAAAAGTGAAATGAATAAGGAAACTAAAACCGAAACTCGAATTGGATAAAATAAAAAATAAAAAAAACCCCCGCTGAAAGAGAAAAATAATATATTACAAGACTTCAAAATCACTTATCAACCGGGTACCTCCCCAAGAATTTGAAAGTCTTCAAGCCATCTTCGAAAGCATCAGGCAACCCAGAGAGACCCTTGTTGTCGACACAGTACACACCCTCCTGACCACAATCAATGCTCGACGCTTCGAAAGCGGCCTTTCCAGTCCCAATGGCGGCGATAGGTTTTCCGTAGAGGAAGGCGTCCCGGACAATCTCTGTCGGCCGTTGGGGAGGGAACAATGTGGACGCGCCGGCCTTGGTGAACAATTTGTTTGTTTCGTCCACGACAATTACCCCATCGAAGAGGACCGCATTGGTAGCCGAGTACGTCATATCGACTCCGGAAGTGATGTACTCCCCGACGACCTTGGGTACGGCGCCTTTACCCTTAAACGCCTTGACAAGGGTCTCGGCCTGGGCAAGCGATGCAGGCGAAGCCGTCGTGACCAAGATTCCGATGTTCAAGGTCTTAATGGAAGGAAGCCGGTTACCAAAGGTCGAAACTCCCGAGGTCTTGTTATCGTGGTAGTAGGCGGAATCCGGCGCCGGTGGCGCCAAGCCCAGAGCCTTGCAGACGTGCGCGGCGAACTCGTTGGAGATCTTGTTGAACTGGGCGATTGCGGCCTTGCGCACGGCGTCCGAGGAGACCTTCGAGAGCTCGAAGCGTGCCGCATTGATCACCATCTGTTGCTCCGCGGGCACCAGGGATTGGAAAAAGAGACGGGGTTGCGACCAGTAGTCGAGGAAGGTGGGCGAGATGTTGCGAACATAGTGTGCATCGACGATCTTCCGCGCAGGAGCGGTAAAGTGGCCACGCCCAGCGTTTTGGGTCGCGGGCTTGGGGAAGCCTCCGTTCAGGGTGTTGGGTGTGTAGGGGGCAGTGTTAAGATGGATCATGTTCTGGCCGGCACCGTCACGGTTGTTGTTGTGCACTGGGCTATGGGGTTGGTTCTGGAATTTTTGAGTTAGTAATCGATGGATGTAGAAAACGGTAATAGGCCCGTTAGCTATACTCGTAGGGAACTTACGATCGGGACCTGTTCAAAGTTTGGTCCGCCATGACGGTTGAGTTGAGTATCGACGTACGAGAACAAGCGTCCTTGCAGGAGAGGATCATCGGAAAAGTCGATACCACGGACAACGTGACCGGGATTGAACTATAGTCCAGTGTTAATATTGCATCCGTAGAGAGAACCGACAACCGGCGGTAGATCGCATCATATCATCACTCACCATAGCCTGCTCGGTCTCGGCAAAGTAATTCTTTGTATTCCTGTTCAAGACCAGCTTTCCGATAGGTGTGATGGGCACCAGCTCAACGGGAACAATCTTGGTCGGGTCGTTAAGGTCGAAGCCAAATCTGAGGACATCAGACTCGTCCATGATTTGCACGCCGACCTCCCATTCCGGATAATTCTTTGAGTCGATGGCGTCGAAAAGATCCTGGCGGTGGAAGTCGGGGTTCTGGCCATTGAGGACCAAAGCCTCGGACCAAACAAGGGACGCAAGACCTTGCTTCGTCTTGAAGTGATACTTGACCAACTTGGACTTGCCAGCATCGTTGACAAAACGGAAAGTATGCACCCCGAACCCATCCATATGACGGAAAGAGCGAGGGATACCGTGACCAGAAAGAGCCCAAAGAAGGGTGTGCATAGTCGATGGGTTCTGACCGAAAAAGTCCCATGCAGAATCGTGGGCGGTACCGGCTTGGGGAATCTCATTATCGGGGCGGGGCTATGCCAATGTCAACATCATGCACCATAAAAGGCTAATCACTCCGAGCAAACCATACCTTAACCGAGTGGATGAGATCAGGAAATTGAATGGCATCCTGAATGAAGAAAACCGGAATGTTGTTTCCAACGATGTCGTAGTTCCCCTCATCGGTGTAAAACCTCAAGGCGAACCCGTGAACATCTCGGACGGTATCCGAGCTACCCCTCGATCCTGCAACAGTGGAGAACCGAAGGAACACCGGCGTCTTCTTCCCCGCCCCTCCGAGGAACGAGGCACCAGTAATATTTGAGAAGTCGGCGCAACTCTCGAAGTAGCCATGGGCGGCGGCACCACGGGCATGCACTACAAAACCACATCAGCATACAAACACACCAAAACAGGATGTGAAAGCTTACCCGCACGTTCCGGAACCCTCTCATGATCGAATCTGGTAATCTTAGTCCTGAGAACGAAGTCCTCCAAGAGCGTCGGGCCCCTCTCGCCAGCCTTCAGGGAATGTGTATCATCCACCGGGGTACCAAAATCCGTAGTAGTAAACACACCATTCCCATCCTCAACGTAGAATTTCTCCAGGTAGCCGTCATCGCCGGGCAGTCCAGAAGAACCACTGCTCTCACCACGCTTACGCAAAGAGGCGCCTCCGTCCATATAAGGACATGCGGCATTAGCCACTGCATTGAGTAGCAGGAGACCGGTTGAAATCGAGGGTTTCATGGCCGGAAGTCGAATCCAAATAGTAGCACGTAAGGAAGGTGGAGAAAGAGAGGTAAGTCGTACTATTAGAGGAGGGAAATAGAGGGGGGAGGAGGGGGTTGATCAAGAGTATTTATTCAGTCCCAGATCGCCGCCCTAAATATTATGCCAATGCCATTTCGCAGGTTTCTGCTGCAACCCGCATATCCATACTCGAGCAGTAATACAGTCCTTCTCGAGCAAACTTTTTTTTTCTTCTTCCGATGGCGCTACTGCGGCACGCCGGTCTTGACCCTATCAAGGCGCCCCACCCGCTCCACTGATCCCTCGACCAGTAAGAGTGGCCCCGTCAAATCAGGTAAATGGCGATTGGCCAACCAAGCCCGAGGCTAAAAGTTACAAGTGCCTAAGGAATTTGTATTAGAACCCGGAGCACCTTGTTGAGATCCCTAGAGGCCCACCGGCAATTGCTATTCTAATTCCAGCCCAGTACTTGTATGATACCCGTACGAGTAGCAGTGCAAAGCGACACCATTCTTTGCATTGCCTTTCAACCTCTCTTCCCCCTCATAATCACAGGGGCACGTCTTACCGTAGCCCCGAGTCCAGAACAGGAGCGCAGCCGGTCGGGCACATCCCGGTACGGCCACTGTATTTGAAAACCGGAGCAAGAGCTGTTGGTGGCTCAACATCCCCAAGCACCCCGTTGGTAAATTGTTCCATTGGCCGCTTTCTCTGAGCACTTCTCTCGCCTATTGTAATCCTCTTTTTGTCTCGCCGAGCGCTGAAGGACACTTTTCTCGCTGTGTTTTCTCCCCTTTAATTCAAAGGGGGAATCCCAGACGTCCAAGCGTAAAGAATAAACATTCCGGTTCCTACGGTGGCTACGGTGGTGGGTCTTCTCACCCAGCAACCAATATATTACAGGTCCCCGGCATGTACGAGTACAAGTAGAACCACTCGTACATCGACCCAAAGGAGACACAACATACCGGCATCAGCTGCCAGACCCAGAGAGATTTCCACATGCCTGATCTTCCCTGGGCAGGGCCTCACCAACCAACTCCACCCGCTTCCTCCTTTTCGGATTCAGACTTGCTTGCGCCGGTACTGTACGAGTACCAGTATTCACACTTAAAGTACCGGAGAAAAGTAAAGAAAGAAAAGGCTCGGATTCTAGCGGATTGTCGACATGAGGTTGAAGAGGCCAAGGTTCGACGTGACCACCTTCTCACCCCACCTCCCCTTCCAAATTCGACGTAAACAAACATTATCACCTCCGGTATTGCTATTCCCAAGCGATACCAACACGGCCAAACTGAAGTTGGACGCCCCCAGTGCCCAGCTCCAATTAGATGGCGCGAGCAAAGCTCGGGACATGGAAAAGTACTAGTACAAGTACTCGAGTACAAGCGCAGTGAGCCACCACTACATATAGCTAGGTATCGTAGCAAGTTATCCAAGCATAATAGGAGTGACGTTGACTGACATCCGGTACTCGAGTGCTGAGTATACAATAACAACAAACACCAAAAGGACACACTCGGAGGCCAGGGAGTTCCCCCGGGGAAGTTGCCCAGGAAGGCAAAATGTGCTCTCCGCCAGGGTCCAATACCAGCACAAGTACCGGTAGGTCATGCTTTTTTATTTTATTTTTAATAGGGGTACGAGTACAAGGCCACTGCGGGAGGGCTTGGACATAACATTGGCGCCAAGATATTTAAGGTCGGTATGCCCACAGCTACCGGTATCAAGCAGCGGGGAAGCGACATCTGGACCAATCGACAGGCTCGCATTTGGAATTATTTACTGTATCTATTTTTTGTCGTTAGATCCCGTCCCGACAGCGCTCCCATCATACGGTACTCAGGAAATCCCCCCCCCCCCCCAACGATACTCTGACCCCCATAGCGACACTCGTATAATACCATACAAGTATGACAGAAATGTCGAACGAGGTCTCGCAGGCGCTCAACCGCACCGGTAGGTAACCCTCCACCAATTGGTAGACTGACGCTAAAACTTCATTGCGGGCAAAAGACCCCTTAATCTGGCTCTACAGTACGGTATGCTCACACGACTATGGCTAAAAAACACGGCGGAAACCCTGATGCCCCACCACTACCCGCATACGGTAGTACCGGTAATGTACTCGAGCACAAGTTCTCGTAGCCTGCCGGGGATTCTCTCGTTCCTCGCTTCTACCCCTTACATAATATTTCAAGCCTAGAACGTGAAACCGAGCGAATAATAATACCGCAAACAACATCGCACATACAGTACTCGTACGGCAACTTTTGTTATTTGTAAGAATGAATCGGAGATTGGGGCTTTCACTCCACGAACTATACCTTTTCAAGGACGATTTACGAGTATGCCAACCCGCGACGTCATCTTGACGTCCAGATGTACGAGTAGAGCTGCTACTTGCCCCCTCTCCCCGCCCTACTCCCCGAGGAGAGTTTCCCTTGAAAGTGAATTACTGTACGAGTACCGCACGCACTGGGATTCCCCCAACAGAAGACCGGCTTTGGCCTCGAAGATCATTTTCCAATTCGCCTTGCTAGCGCAGTGCAGTGATTAATTAATTAATCACTGGATCGAGCCCTATTACAATAAAGTGCTGATGGTTCGTTATCCGTCGAGCGGGAAGCGGGGTTTATCGATATTAAGTTACTATCGATCCAGCCCTGCTCCAACAATGATTTGAAAAAACCCCATTTGTCCTAGCGGGTGGCACAGTTTGTTCTCTGCTGAAAGGGCATCATCTACGGTACTCGAGTACCGGTACTACAGGAGTGTGCGATGAGGGTCTAATTAGCTCTTCAGTAAATCTGTTGCAACTCCCTTCACCAATTGTTTCACCAATATCTAGGCCTCCGTACCGTACTCATTCCGCACGACAAACAAACAAACAAACGATACCCCTTCGGCAGAAAAGAACTGGTGCCACGAGCTAGGGCAAATGGGGTGCCAACCCTTGGCTGAGAAGCATGAGCACTCTGTCACAAGTACAGTACTGTACCTAAGGTACGGTACTCGAGTACCGGTACCGGTACCTCTACCCCTGGGAGATCCGTGGAACGATGTCTTAGTCAGATCTTCGTTGCTCTTGGAAAACATAAATCTTTCGGGCGCAGCACATTACCGACTACCGGTAGGGGGCGGGTTACGTGCAGTGCTTCTAATCTTCCAGTCCGTCCGAGACGGGGGGGGGGGTGAAGGCGGTGGAGACGAGACATGTCTCGCCTTTGGACGGAATGGGCGGCCGTCAACTGCGGGCGACCGGAGATGGCTAACGCACCCCAGCCAGCCACCCACTGGTACAATACCGGTACTCGAGTACCACAATGGGTTAAATTACAAATAAAAGTCAACCATATCCATAAAAAGATTGGTTTGTACTACTTGTAGCGCAGTCCGGCCGCCGTCGGACAGGACGACTGGGGGCTGATTATGTGTAATACCACCTTTTCGCAGTTCGGAGCCTTACGAAGCAGAATAAAGGGGCGCAAGTGCTAGTGGAATGTCCTGAGGATACAGCACACTTGTTCCGTGCATCCCCGCAAAGGATGCGGAGATTCTGTCGCAGGGCAGGAGTGCCGGGCATAAACAAATTCCGAGTAATGTACTCAGGTACCGGTACCCATATGGCGTTTCTGTGGTGGTGACACGGTACTCTAGCAACCAGTTCGGGAGTGTTGGGTATTCCTGTGGCTATGGTAATCAGAATCTTGCATTGATGTCACTCGGTATCGCTCGTCCAAGCATACCACAGCTCCTGTCCTTCCGCCGCATGCGATGTTGCGAGGGGGAAGGGGGTTGCATCAAAAAAGGACCGAAGGAGTTGGGACGAGTTTTTCGAACCGGGGGGGAGGGGGTTATGAGGTATGGTAATGCCAAGCCCGTGAGCGGAACGAATTCTTTGTGCCAATGCATCCATATACTGAATCCTTGAACTTTGTGGGAACAGTACTGTACAAGTATATCCAGCATTCACCAGGGGTGGTAATTTAGGCATGGTGGATCCAAATTCGCTGATGGGACAGATAGGATCACTTCTTGCCCTAGAATCTGAAAGCTTTGGTAATCTGCCCCGCTTTCCTGGCTCCTGGACAACAGAGACTTCTTCCTATTTGGTTTGCTTAATAAGACATCAGGGAACCCCCGGGCTCGATCGCTGAAAACCTGCAGATTTTCCACACGTACCGTACTCGTAGAACGGGGTGTAAGGTATAATAGGAATATTATAATCGAGTTGGAAATATTTTTCCCCATCGTACACTTCGACAAGTATCCGGTATGAAATTCCTGGTCGTTTGAACGCGAATCTGGCCCAATACGGTAATTTGCTTGTACGAGTACAAATTTCTGATTCTCGTGTCCAAGTGCCTGTTACGCTCGAGTACGGTAGTGGTACGGCATGATAACTGAACTGGCGCTTGGGGTTCTTCTGATTGTACGGTACAAGTGCGAGTACCGGTATCGGTATGGTAGGACTGGTATCCCTGCACACCGACGTCCCCCACGACAAAAACTCGAAGAACTCGTCCGCGTTTTTCTGATGGGTTGATATAATTTGTTAGGTTTAAGAGAGGAGAAATTACTTTGCCCCGATGGTCAGCATACCGGTAATTACGTGTACGAGTACGGTACGGTCCTTGCGACGGCATAAAGGTCCAGGATCCCCCGCCCTTCTTGCAAGCCCGTGCCGTGCCCTTGCCGACGCCTTCCCAGCCGCTACCCTGGCAGCCATACTGAAACTTGAGAAATGCGAACGCCACACGGAGGAAGAAGGGGAAAAAAGAAAAAAACAAGCTTATCATGCATCCGGGAGATCCTCTAATCCAGACGGTTTACTGTACTCGAGTACCGTACCAGTACGGAACCTCCCACCTTCCCGAACACTTAGCACGACTCTGGAGGGAAAAGGGGGGGGAAATGACAACCAAGGCGCCGCATACGCCCTTTGTCTTTCACAGGAAAGGAAATAGGGGCACGGAAATTCCGAGCGTGGCTCGCAGGGTTCTTCGTCTCGTCTCTTAAATTAACACTCG